GGCTTGTAGTTGGTAATCTGTCAGACCTCTCCAGACAGAAGCAGAGTCACTTGCTGAGAGCTGATGTTGCAGTTTCTCAGAGTACAGACGTTTAGCTTTCCTCACCGCCTTGCTAAACCTGTACTTTGACTCTTTGTACAAGTCCTTGTCCCCACTCCTAAAAGCCTGATCTTTCTGCAGCCTTAGCTTTCTGAGTTCTGCTGTGAACCAGGGTTTGTCGTTGTTGTAACTCACCCTGGTGCTTGGAACACAGCTGTCCTCACAGAAGCTGATAAACCCCATGTTTCCTCACTTTCCTCTTGGTTATAGTTGTGATTTTTTGTTGTTGTTTGGTTGAATCTTTGCACTACTGTTTAGTTAGTTAATTTAATATTATTCTATTTCATTGTATGTATTGTGCATTTGATATTTGCATTTGATATTTAATATTTTTACTTTGTTATTTTATTTACCTGTACCATAATTGCTGCTGTCGCGAAAAAATGTCCCCTTGCGGGATTAATAAAGTAACTATCTATCTTCTATCATTTCGGCCTATCTGAAACCTGGCCGAAACGCTTACAAGAAAGCTGTTTCATAGCCCGATAATACAAGAGTTGCTGGAGTTTTTTTTTTTTTTACCTCTAGAGATTTTTTCTCTTCTCCATGCACCTTATAAGTAGCCTCAGTAAAGTTGTGACACAAACCCTCATTCTGCCTCTAACATTTACAGTCTGTAGATATAGCAGCTGAATGTTTTACCTCTGTTCAGCTTTGTTCTCCTTGTTCTAAAGATGTACAGTAGGCCTATGTCTATTTCTGTGTGTATGAGCAACGGAAAACCAGATTTTCACATATTTGCAAATTCTGATTTACTCTAATGCAATGAAGTTGACTGGAATTTTATTTGTGGATTACTCTAAAACAATGTGTAAAAATTCAAAGTGTCTTGGCAACTTATCCTCTGCCCTTATCAAGAAAGGAGTACAGGGGAAACATGGTAGCAGCACCTGCTAGTGTATGCAAAACTAACTGAAAATGTGATCAATTCAGTTCTTGTTTTACTGTTCTTTTAGTTTGGAAAACTGCTTTCAACCAACTCAAGCTGGAGAAAGAAATAATTGAAACAAATGTGCATGTTTTATACAGTAAATCTTAAAACCTGCGCAAAGAAAATGTTTTTATGCACTTTGGATGAACTGTCCCTTTAAAAATAGGTATGTTATATTACTTAATTAGAACTGCCATCTGCTTCCCAACCTCTTTCTAATTTTTTCCAATTTTTGTATTGTGCATTTTTGTGAACTACACCAATGCATTTCCATACAAGTGTGCTATAGATAGTGAAACAGAGGTTATATTCCTGCCATAACCAGATGTTCAAGAGCAACAGCAAGAACTAAACTAAAAAACTAAAAAAATAACAGAAACACACAATGGTAAGAAAAGAAGATAGATAAATAAGAATAAAATAAACTTAAAAGGTATGTAAGAGAGAAACAGGTGAAAATGGGGGATTTGGGTGAGGAGAAAATACAATGCTTACCTTCTAATCTAACTACACAAACAACAACAAAAAGGTTTTTGAAACATCAAAAGGGCTGTTCCTCTTTTCTTCAGAGTTCTTACTTCTGCATGAATCATGCTCAGTGCCCCACCACATCCCATACCATTACAGTCACATCAGCACATTTATTAACATGCTGTGTCTTTATTACTGAATAAATACTTTTTTTTGGTAGTACAGATATTTCCTCCTTCCTATTTGGAAACTCCAAAAATACTTCTTCATTTCAGCAGTTTTGACCATTTAATGAAATACAACCCTAAAAACCAGATACTGCAATATGAAAAATCGTATTTTTGTGATGGTTTGAAGAGTAAACGTTCTACAAGAGCTACTGCAGCAGAGTTCAAGAGTTCACATTTCGCCCACTAGAGGTCAACATCTACATGTCTGTACATGTCAGTTTAGGTATCCTACTGCACACTTCCTGAGCGCCTGGCAACGAGTGCAGCAGTAGATCTGCAGGTTGTAAATCACAAGGATTATAAACAAGCAAGAAGAGTAAGGTCATGACCTCATGCTGCTTATAGTGGCAGAGAAAACTTATTTATTCAGTGTTTTAGCATGTTGTTAAAGCGCAGTTACACAGTGTAGAGAGGTGGATACCATTCAGGAGGAAGATATTTGAGTTACAGAAAATCAGCTAAAGTTTGGACTGACTGGAGAGACTGTTTAGAGACTAAAGGGATAGTGAAGTCTATCTCTCCCAAAAGCACAACAAAAAAATAAAATCTCCATAAACAGTAATGAGACTTCTGTCCACCCTACGGGCCCACAAACCTCATGCCTGCTGTGGAACGTCTGCTTTTAAGTGCACACACTTTAATCAAGGTGCTATTTAAAGCTCCTCCTACACACATCCTCATCTTACAAACATGCCACACTCTGTGGTGTGCATGAGAGTGTGACCGTGCAGATTCATGACCCCATTAGTGGAGCATGAGCATCTGCAAAAGTCCCCCTCTCTTCCTTATCTCGTCCTCCAAGCCTGTCACATGCCCGCCACCGGAGACATTTCGGGACCGCGGAAAAACCAGACAGATATTTCGGCCTGCTGCTGCTGCGGCTGCAGTGCTTAACCGCCTGCTGAGCTGTTCTCTTTCTCTCTCTGTGCGTGACACTGAGTGCATGGGCTTGTGTGTATGTGTGTGTGTGTGTGTTAGAATGCAATGCAGACAGGCAGGTTTGCGTGATGTCCATGTCTTTAAATGGGGATAGAGCTTAGGGATTAACCGTGCACTTCAGGGGTGCAGGAAGGAGGCAAAGAGGAGGAGAGAGGGGGAGGAGGTGATGCCAAGAGGCCTGCCAACACAATGCCAGGCAAGGCTGGTGATCTTTTTCTCTCTCTCTCTCTCGCTCTCTCTCTCTCTCTCTCTCTCTCTCTCTCTCTCTCTCTCTCTCTCTCTCTCTCTCTCTC